TCTGGCTAATAATATGTAACTGGAGAGAACACCACAGTAACTCTCTCTCTTCCAGAGCTCTATGTATGTTCAGAATTTACCCTTTCTAAACTCTATCTCCCTAAAATTCAGTTCCCTCAGGAACACCTTAAACACAGCCCTCTCATTGGCCAGCTGGACCTCTGTTCACCACAACATTTCTCAGAGGGAACAGCAAGTGTGTTAGGCAATGGGCTTGAGGCAGGAGTTGAGGTCTGTTTGGCATCCTACTGCACATTGGAGGAACCTTCTAAATCTTTTCAAAAGCTTTAGAAGGATCCTTCCCCCTCAAGCCCATTGCCTAATGCATTTGCTGTTCCCCTCCAAGAAATACGCCCCACACTCTGGGGGCAAGTCTTGCCTGCTGCTTGAAGTGAATGGCACTAGCAAGTCAGTCACTAAAAAATATACAAGTCTCAAATGGAGTCGAGTCAGGATGTCATTTGCCAAGTCAAGTACAATGACTGGAGTCCAACTTAAGTCCAAGTCAACTGACTCAAGTTTACATCCCTGTTAAATAATAACAACAACAATGTTTATTTATGCCCTTTTCACCATAGGTGGAACATCCACCATATATGATCAAGAATGAAACAATAAAACACAAAAATATAATATACTAAAGATAAAATCCTCACCACCCTGTTAGTTGCTACCCATCTTGGTAACTCTAGAGAACACCAGCTCCTTCAGTCCTATGGAGAAGGCTGGGGACTGGAGTCAGCAGCTTGGATAGCTTCTTAAAACATGACACTCAAACTCAGAAGAGAGGCATTACCCCACCAGCATAGTACCTTCCATTCGCAACTGTAGATTGCTTCCATCTGTACACAATAAGCATAGATAACCATTGGCAGTTCTTGTTTCTACTGTTTTAAAGGCATGCATATAATGCTGGGGTACTCACCCAATCTCTTACCCCCTCTGTTAATATGTTCCCTTAGGAGAGATAGAATTAAGTCTCTCTTGGACTGAGTGTCAGTCAAAGGAACTAAATATTATGTGCAACATATATTTCTGCCTTACAATGTGTTCTAAGCAATAATGCCCAGTTTCATCTTTAGGACATCTTCAGCCTACTAATTCTGCAGAATGGTTTGTTCTGATATCACATTCACACTTGCCAAAAAACTGTTGGAAATTAGAAAATCATAGAATCATAGAATCATAGAGCTGGAAGAGACCACAAGG